ATATTGAATAAAAAAGTTTCTGTTTCTGTGTCTGTTTCTATAATTCAAATTCAAAACAGTTTGGTGATTGATGATCACAGGCGGACTCCAGTTTCTGTAAGAATGACAGCCGACTTTATACCTTGCTGACATTAAGTAGTTAATTGGAATTATGCATAAACCTGCAAATAATTTCTTTGACATTGACAATTATTATAAAAATATTAAACTTATTTTCTAGTTTTTTACCACTGAGTGTAACATTTGGTAGACCCACGTCCAACAGTGTACTTCTTCATCAACTGCTACGATTTGACAACAGTTTTTCACGTCGTAATGTTTTGAGCAACGATTTACTGTACCGATAATCATAACAACATTGAGATATGAAAAAGTAACGTTCTTCCGTGATAAAGGAAAGCATTCTATAATTCAAATTCAAAATATTTTGGTGATTGATGATCACAGTTTATTACTCCAGTTTCTGTAAAAAAAAATTAGCACGTATAACATCTTGCTTCTATCTTCTTTACCGGCTCGTAAAGCCCACAGTCGAACATGAATGCATTTCCAGTCGTAGAGTGGATTTTCCATACTTAAGACCTGTCTCAGTCCACATCATCATCATTAGCACCACGCACAATCTGTAAGATTCTTCAAAACTGCGCAGCAGATTATTATAATAACAAATTTTATTCTTTTATTTTATCACCGACATGTTAAATAGATGATGATGATATCGTATGAGGAGATAATAGAGATATATATTTCGTATAGAATACAAATCCAGGATATAATTATTAAAATAATAAAAAATGTCAGTAGAAGTTAACTGATGAGCGTACAACGAGGCGAAGCGTTCGTGACCGTGACAAGCACACGTTTCGTATTACAGCGTGCTGAGTGGTGCCGCTCGGTATGTATGCAACCCTGTCGTCTCTACTTGAGCCTTGGCGTGTAGCGCGGCGGAGCGTCTGCGAGCACGACTAGCACACGCATTGTATTACAGTGTGTGCCGCTACTTAGCGCGCCCTGTCAAACGCTTTCTATTAAAGCATTGGCTAAAGGCTTACCCATTTAAGTAATGCATTATATTTTAATAATGCTCAAACAAAAGAATGGAAGTTATATCTTGTTATAAAAATTAAATTGATAGTGGAGTTCACATCCTACGTAAATGCTGACTTGCATTTAAATATTTGTTGCACTCCTACTTGATAATAATCTCATATATAAAATTTAACTTGCAAGCTATATATGAAAATGTTCGCAAATTCAATAACGGAATCTCTCAGCGACGATTTGTTTTACTTTAACTTGGCGAACTATTTTTCTTACTTATAGAGTTGAGAGTTATTGTAAAACAGTCTAAAAATCTACAGGGATAAGTCTTAGAATTTATATCAAAAAACAAAGTGCATTTGTTTTTTTACGAGGACTGTTAGAAATTCTTGGGTTTTGGTTAAGAAAATAACAGCGTATAATAGCAGCTTAATCCTTTTTACTGGAAACGAGGCGTTCCATCATTGTCCTCAGGGAGGACAACCATCTGTATTTTGAATCCTAATCGTTGATAAATGTAGATGTGTCTATGGGCCCCAGCACCTATTTACCATCGGGTGAACTAATTCATGCCGAAACCAAAATATAGCTGCAGCGTGGTTCTACCACGTAAAACATTGTAGTATTAAAAAAAATGTTGAAATTAATGTAACGACTCATGTTTCTGAAGGAAGCTTTCTTTCTCAACTAATCAGTTTTTACAAATGGTTGACAATTCGTTTGTAGTTTCGTACAATTAATATTTTACCTTATGTATAATATGTATGCGCTTTCTCTAAGATTTCCTTTTTCAGTCTTCGTGAGTGAAGTTATTGTGATATAGTTAATACATTGCAAATGGACTGCATGCATTCTGTTTATCTATTGATATTAGACTGAAATAAGTTTCTATGAGTAAATGATATGTAAGATTATTTCGTATTTAAAGTTTAGAATCTTCTGACTTCTAGAGATAGAAACATATCTTTTTTTTTCTAATAATTTTATTATAAATTTATTGGTTTGAAGGAGTATGTCATGGGCTCAAGGTGACATTAACTGCATTGTATGCATTTTAGTCTCAAGTAAACGGTCATAACATAAACACGTAGTTTCTTTCCGAGTCACATGCTATACGAATATAGACCCTAGCGTTCTAAACATATGGTCCAAACGATCCGGATTTGTGAAAAAGACATTAAAAGTGAAAATATTTAAGGAGTGAATAAACGTTAAGCTACTTTTACTGTAAATAAATGGACAAAATATATGAAACGAACAAAATAGTGTTAGTTGTGTTTTATTATGAACAATATATACGTAAGGAACTGTGAGATTAGTGGTATGTTTTAAAAAAATTCAATAACGATTTACGATTGAAGTGTGTTGAACAGTATAGTTAACAAACGCAGTGATTTATAAAGTAGTTAGTGAGAGAAATAAGCAAAGGTTGTGAGAAACTATTTCGTTCGGACGCTTGAACTTTGAACTATTTTTTTTTATACCCACGAATACATAACTTTCGGTTGACTGTTGTTAGTTTGTTACAAAATTTAAGAACATTAATATTAAAGAGCAACACAAACATTTATTTTAACGAAAATGGATTCTGCAAAAAACTAATGAACGTTCAATGTGATAGTTATAAGAATATACAAAGGGCTTATGCAAATTTTAAAAAGGCACCAAAGGAAAGAATTACAGTAGGCTATGTAACGTCTAGATTAGATTCCTTAGAAGTTTATTGGAAAGATTTTAAGTGTTTGCATCAAAAAATCATACAAACGAAACATCGAAGGAAGAAAGAAAGTCTTAAAATTTTTTCGATTATGAAGTTTATGATTATTTTGAGGAATTATATTATACATATAAAGGAGAATTACGAAATGCTTTACAAAAATTGCAACCAGATACGGATACTGAAAATAAAGCACAACAATTAGAACAAAGGCTATGCCAAAAACCAAGTGATACAAAGTTGCCGAGAATTACTATACCTATATTTAGTGGAGATTACACCGAATGGCAATCGTTTCACGATTTATTCTTAGCACTTATTCATAAAAACGATACCCTAGAAGACGTTCAAAAGTTACACTATCTAAAGAGCAATTTAAAGTGAGATGCTGAAGTATTATTACGACAATTTGCTATTACGGGAAAGAATTATGCAGAAACCTGGTCCGCGCTAAAAAGGCGTTATGATAACAAAAGGTACATAGCAAATTGTATTTTTAAAATTTTTTTTAAGTCAAAAACCCTTACCTTATGATTCAGCAAACTTATTAAAGCAGCTCTTGGAGACATCTGTGGAATGTATTAATTCTTTAAAAAATCTCGGTTTGCCAACTTCACATTGGGATGCAATTGTAAATTTTGTAATCGTATCTAAACTGGACACTGTTACACATAAACAGTGGGAGGAGTCTATTGGTAAGAATAGCACAGAAGACTTACCTTCATTCGATCATTTAAAAGGGTTCCTGGAAACTAAGTTTAGAACTCTTGAGATGGTGGAGCCTGCAAAGAAAATTACTAATCCTATTAACCCAAAGTCTTTTCATGCTGCTGATGGTGAAAATGTGCTGTGTAGCTACTGTAAAGAGAAGCATTATATATTTACCTGTAAAAAATTTACCTACAAAAGAAAGATATAAGTTTGTACAGAGTAATAATTTATGTTTTAATTGTCTTATGCCTAATCACACAGTATTTAAATGTAAAAACACAATATCATGCAAAATTTGCAGAAAACGTCATCACTCCTTATTACATAATGATAGAAAGAATTTGACGACGAATGAAAAGATGACAACAGAAGGAACTACTTCAAAGCAACAAGATGAGACAGAGATAAAGGTAACAGCGCATATGTCTAAGGAACAACCTGGTCAAAGGGTTTTACTGGCAACAGCATTGGTAGACATCACATCAAGGGCAGGACAAACACATGTCTTCCGTGCACTTATTGATCAGGGATCAGAGGCTTCGTTCGTGACCGCACGAGTTGTCGCCTTATTAGGCTTAAGAAGAACAAACATCAACGGCGTGGTCTCTGGTGTAGGAGGGGAAGGTAGAATATGTATCAATTACATGGAAGAATTGGTAGTTAAGTGAAAATGTGTATCAAACTTTTCTGTCAACATAAAGGCATATGTGCTTAAATCATTGACTCGTAGGTTACCGGCTAAAGAAGTAAAAATTTGTGGTTGGCCTCAGCTTAAAAGTATGAAATTAGCTGATCCCCATTTTTACACGCCGAGTAGAATAGACATTCTTCTCGGTGCTGATGTTTTTTGTAAAATAATTGGCTCAGGTTTAATAAGGGGGCCCAGTACACAAACTTGGGGTGGATTTTATCAGGAAGCGTTAGCAAGTCAGCGAGTAGTTTACCGCAAATAACAAGCCTACATGTCACACGTTCGGATGATGAAACTAATAATCTACTGAGAAAGTTTTGGGAGATAGATGTTGAGCATTATAGAAGCAAGAAAATACTAACTAAAGAAGAAACTAAATGTGAATAAATATACAAAAATACAACTACAAGAGATGAAACAGGAAGGTATGTAGTACAGTTACCGTTAAAGCAAAGTTATGAAGATACAGTAAGGATGTGTGGAGACACGAAGAAGCTGGCCATCACTCGACTGGAGTCTCTAGAAAAAAGATTTAGAAAAAATGAAAGGTTAAAAATTGCATATAAGGAAGTAATACACGAATACTTACGGTTGGGACACATGATGAGAGTTGAAGATGAAAATCATGAAGGTGCAGTCTACCTGGCGCATCATCCAGTTATCAGAGAAGACAAAGATACTACAAAAATTAGAGTAGTCTTTGATGCCTCAGCAAAGGGTATCGGTGGTTTCTCATTAAATGACTGTATGATGGTAGGACCCGTATTACAACCAGATCTTCGTAGTATAATCATCAGGTGGAGAATACATAAATTTTGCGTGATCGGTGACATAATCGAAATGTACAGGCAAGTAAGGGTAACAGAAGACCACGCAAACTTGCAACGTATAGTGTGGCGAAACGATGAATTCGAAGAAGTTAAGAGCTACAAACTAATGACAGTTACCTTTGGCACCGCTGCTGCACCTTACCTTGCCGTAAGAACATTATGTCAGCTATCTCAGGAAGAAGCGGAAGAATATCCTGAAACTGCATCTGTAATAAAAAATTATTTTTACGTCGATGATTTAATGTCTGGGAATGAAGATATAGATAAAACGAAAGTTATGTGCGAAGAAATTAAAATGATACTAAGAAAAGGGGGATTCGAAATGCAAAAATGGTCCAGCAATTGTGACGAAGTATTAGATTTTTTACAAGAGAGGGAATGTACTATGAAAGAAAAATTAGATATAAAACTAGACAAGGTAATAAAAATTTAAGGTTTGACATGGGATAGAAAAGATGATAGATTTAAAATAACTGTAAACTTACCTGAAGTAGAGGGTCCTATAACAAAGAGATCAGTCCTTTCCGATGTAGCTCGCCTATTCGACCCATTTGGTTGGTTGTCTCCAGTAGTCATATCAGCAAAAATATTAATACAAAAATTATGGATCTGTAATTTAGGTTGGGATGATGTATTACCGCCACATTTGATTGAAGACTGGTTGAGATATAGGAAAGAGCTGATTCATTTACAACACATTTCTTTACCACGGTGGTTTAATACAACGGCGCAAAACTTGAAAGACATGAAAATACATGAATTTGCAGATGCATCAGTAAACGCATACGCTGCGGTTGTTTATCTAAAGGTAATTAATAACGCGTCAATACATGTCATGAAAATCGCATCGAGGACTAAGGTTGCACCTTTGAAGCAAATATCTGTTCCTAAATTGGAATTATGTGCGGCAGCTTTACTAACAGAACTCATGAGTGATGTTGTTGATCTATTATCCATCCCTAAAGAAAGAATTTTTGCTTGGTCCGACTTAATGGTAGTTGTATCATGGTTACAATTGGAACCAAGCCGGTGGCGAACATTCGTAGCAAATAGGGTGGCTGAGATAACACGGGTATTAGACAACAATCAATGGAACTACGTTCAATCTTCTGACAACCCGGCTTTCAACCCGGTTCTCACAGCGCTCGGTTCGCAAAGCACTCCTCTCCCTGGACATCCAGAAGTCGAATGGGCCTGACGGAATCCCCCAAATTGTGCTGAGGACGTGTGCTCCGGAGTTGGCACCAGTCCTAACGCGTCTTTTCCGGTACTCCTTCTCCCAAGGCGTAGTCGTGAATTCATGGAAGACAGCTTTTGTCCACCCGATATCTAAAAAAGGCGACCGCTCAGACCCGTCCAACTATAGGCCTATCGCGATCACCTCCTTGTTCTCCAAAATAATGGAATCCATTATTAACTGCCAGCTCATCCGGTACCTTGAGGATCACCAGCTGATTAGTGACCGCCAATACGGCTTTCGTCGGGGTCGATCAGCTGGTGATCTTCTGGTCTACCTGACCCATAGATGGGCGGAGGCAGTAGAGTCCAAGGGGGAGGCGTTGGCCGTTAGTCTGGACATTGCGAAGGCCTTCGATCGGGTTTGGCACAAAGCGCTTCTTTCGAAGCTCCCTTCCTAAAGGCTTCCCGAGAAATTGTGCAATTGGATCACCAGCTTCCTTGCAAATCGGAGCATCAAGGTCGTTGTAGACGGTGCATGTTCTGACTACAAGCCTATTAACGCTGGTGTTCCACAAGGCTTTGTGCTATCACCAACGCTGTTTCTTCTGCATATCAATGATATGTTGCTAACTGGTAACATTCATTGCTATGCGGATGACAGCACTGGTGATGCTCTATACTCGAGTCTTTGCTGAACAAAGTCTCGGATTGGGGGCGACTAAATCTAGTCCAGTTTAATCCTCAGAAGACACAAGTTTGCGCGTTTACCGCTAAAAAGAACCCCTTTTTCGTATCTTCTCAGTTTCAAAGCATTCCAATTCTTGCCTCAGCCAGTATCGGTATCCTCAGAGTCGACATACCGAGTGACGTGCAGTTTTGTGGTCACTTGGAAGAGAAGGCCAAATTCGCCTCTAAAAAGCTTGGCGTGCTCAGCAGAGCGGGACAGTATTTCATGCCGGCACACCGCCTGTAACTTTACAAGGCGCAGGTTCGGCCTCACATGGAATACTTTTCCCATCTCTGGGCAGGGGCTCCCCAGTGCCAGCTTCTTCCACTTGACCGCATCCAATGCAGAGCGGCTCGAATCGTCGACGACCGAGCCCTTTCCGATCGGCTCGATTCATTGGCACTGCGAAGAGATGTTGCATCCCTTTGCATTTTCTTTCGCATCTACCATGGAGAGTGCTCTGAGGAATTGTTCCGATTAATCCCAGCCGCCAAATTTCACGAACGCACATCACGGCAGAACTCCCGATACCATCCACACCATCTGGATGATTGGCGGTCCACCACTGTGCGATTTAGAAGATGTTTTCTTCCTCGCACGACTTCCTTGTGGAATCGATTACCATCAGCGCTATTTCCGGACCGATACGACCTAGGGACCTGCAAGAAAAGAGCGTACTCCTTTTTAAAAGGCCGGCAACGCATCTGCAATTCCCTCCGTGGTGTTGCAGTTGTTCATGGGCGGCGGTAGTCACTTACCATCAGGTGAGCCGCATGCTCGATTGCCCCCTCTCCTATAAAAAAAAAGATTGCCCCATATATGCAAAATTCATGACTAGTTAATACTGTGATATTGATATTTGCCTTACATTTCTTAAGTATGTAGTAAACTCGTTACGTTGTTCTTAATCCAGGATTTTTTAAAACAACTTGTTCGAAACAAAGTGTTGAAGTAAATAACTTCGTTGTTCGAAACTGTCACGAACAGTCTTTAGTTTCGTTGTAGTTGATTCCTTTCTAAAATTTGCAAATTAAATATCATAATGATTATAAAACGTAATAAGTAGTTAAGTGAGATTTCATGGTGGCCTACACAAGAACAAGAACAAGTATAATAAAGGCTAAACTGCAGCGGCTAATTTATTTCAATTAGAATCAGAATAAAATAACCGTTTAATAATTTCCTTTGTTCCCTTCGTCTATATTAAATGTCGATTGATAAATGAAAATAAAAGTAATAAGTACATTGCGTAGTAATTGAAGCTGCTGTTTCCAAATGTATAACAAAATATTTTTCATCTGTTATATATTTGTTACCTGAAATTGTTAATTACAATATAAGTGCTTATTTACCACGTGCGTCACGTCTACGGTGAAAGAAAACATCGTGAGGAGACCTGTGTATCTTAGAAATTAAAATAAAATATTTTAAAAACATGCGAAATCCACCAAACACGCGTTGATGCAACGCGACGGACTTTTACTGGTTCTAAAACCTTCTCAGAAATGAGACGAGGCCTGTGCCCCGGGAGTAGGACATAGCAGGCTGCAACTACTGTATCTGAATTCATAAACGCGATGCGTTGAATGTAGATTTTATGTAGGCAGTCGAGCGGCCGTATAACAATTGCAAAAAGGCCGTTTTCATTATCTTATAATACAGACAAATTTTTCATTTCTATATCTCAACGTTATTAAGGTTGTCGGTATTTTCGTTGGCATTCTCTGAGATATTATATAAGCTTGTCAATAATATAAGCTTTTTCAAATATCTATCTCAATAATTTAATTTGCGATCTTATCGTCTCTCCTGCTCTTGTACGTTTCTCTTAATCATGGCTACCGTGATTAAGAGAAACGTACCAAGATATTAAATTAATTAAATGTTTTATCCTCAAGGGTATTAAATCTTAGATGTTCTTAGAACAAATAAGAGTGTAATATTATTTTCGGTATTTTTGTCTCTTAAAATTAGGAAAAAATTATCAGCGTTAGTTAAAAAGTTCGAGTTTTCTAATCATAAAATCAAATTTTTTTATTTGATGACTTTAAACTACTATTTAAATGTAACTAAATGGTTACACACAATATAAAAATAATCTATAATAATGAAAAACTAGAACTAATAATTTAAGTTCCAGTTTCTTTTTCAGGTCACTAAAAGTGGTATGCAATTCGACATTAACTCCATAACAAGTTTAAAAATTGTAATTCAAATATCCTGGAACTTCATTTCATTGTTTACCACGTTAAGAACTAATTTTCGCACCTGCACAAAATTTGCCGTAAATTTTAAGTAGAAAATATGGTTAAAATTAAACTTTAATAGTATGTATTATCGAGATTTTGAGAATATCCTTTCGATATTCTGTCGCTAAAAATAAACTTCATATAATTAATAGTATTCTTTACATAACTCAATGACACCACTTGGCTCGGCCAGTTACTTTGCGAGCCCTGAGTTCAATTTTAGCTGGAGTCAACATTCAGGCAAAATCGTAAGTTGTTGGTTTTCAGGTTCTATGTAAATTGTGAATGTCTCAGTGTCTATTACTAGTGTACAGTTCATAACAATACATCGACTATCAATATCGAGTTGGTGAGGACAAGTGAGTGGATAATATGTGAGTGCGTACAGTCTGGTATTACACCATCTGAGCGGTTGATCTATTTTGACTCTATTAATAAGATGTGGCCATGCAGGTCTAGTTTTAATGTCAATATAGTAATATCTATGATATTATTTTATCACTTTTTACTTTCGATATTAATTCCAGGAAGGAGTTCTTAGAAATGTCGATATGTTTGTTTCTCTATAAAGTAATAAACGACTACGAAAGCTACGATTGGTTCTGAACCGTCACTAATTTCAGACAGAACTTTATTTACCTCGACAATTTGCTTGGATAAAGTTGATCCGATAAATAGTTAGATTAGGGCAATGAAATGAGTTTTCAGAGTGCGCTCAAGGATAAACAATAACATTGCTAAATCGTAGCTCCTGGATGTAGCTACGACTGTACATATGTACATATTACAAAGTCGTATATTTGATTTAATCCTAATATTTTTGGTATATACTATCCGATAATATGATATATTTCTCTGGCTATTTATTGTTCGGGTCGTGTTATAGCGATGTAAAAGAACAGTATACTAAATTTTATCATCTCTTCCTTCGATATATGGCTTGCAACGTCGTATAGTTGATTTAATACTAATATTTTTGGTATGTATTATTTCATAAAATGATAATATATATATTTCTCTGGTTACTTATTGATTAGGGTGCGTTATAGTGCTTGCAATCATTCCATTTATACGAGAAGTAAAATACCTGGATCGGAAATAGGGAACAGCGTCAAAGGTGCAAGACGTTTGGTGTTGGGATCGTCAACCCGCCTGCACGCAAATCGTCTCTACAACGAAGGCCCTGTCTAGCAGTAGACTTGTTTGAGCTGATAAAGTTGAAGTCCATTAATAGATACAAACCTAGTAAATAATACGATTAGTGGCAAGACTTACAATACAATAACACCCTTTATTGTACACCAAGGAAACAAATAACGTAACAATAAACAAACAAAGAGAAAAACAAAATGCGGTCATATTGCTATAAAGCAATTTCTTCTAGACAACCTACAAATAGGAAATAAAAAGAAGTGAAAAGTTCATTAATGGGTAGGGTGCACTAAGTATAGATTATATCTATATAAAATACTAATTTACTTACATGACAGACTATTTCTCATAATATTACGTGATATTATGTAATACTGTGTATTATTGCGCCATACTACAATAATTACGTGATAAATGTGAAAAATTATAATTAAAAATTTCTTTGGAGTAAATTTTAAGGATTTTGTTACATATGCCCTTTAAAAAACGGTATACTGCTTGTGATCATCAACGACCAAACTTTTTTTAAAGTTTATTCGATAAGTTTAACAAAAAAATCTTTCTAGTATTGGGGTAATCAAAGCTTTCTCTTTATTCCTTTTCTTTCACCTTTTACGTATTACTTCATCATCATCATCATCATTACAGCCCTTCACAAGTCCACTGCTGAACATAGGCCTCCCCCAAAGAATGCCACAAAGCACGGTCCTGAGCCACCTGCATCCATCGACTTCCTGCATGTCTTACCAGGTCGTCACTCCTGTCTTACACCTCTCTGCAATTGGATAGGTTTCGTACTCTGGTTCTGTACTCGGATAGCCATCGTAGCCCTACTGTACAAGCACTTCAACACTTCGATATACCGACAGTCAACTTGGCACCGCATAAGGGACTGCAGCACCGCCCAAATTTCGACGGAATCAAAGGCTTTCTCATAGTCCACATACGCCAGACATAGTGGCAAATTGTACTCTTCGGACTTCTGTACAATTTGCCGAAGGGTATGTATGTGGTCTATGGTGCTAAAGCCCTTTCGGAAACCGGCTTGTTCTGGAGGCTGGATGTCGTCAAGTCTGCGCGCGAGACGATTCGTAATGACTCTCGAAAACAGCACGTAGACGCGGCTCAGAAGGGAAATCGCTCTGTAGTTCTTCAAGAGAGCGTTGTCACCTTTCTTGAAGAACAAGACCACCGCACTTCTGCTCCACGCCTCTGGTGTAATGCCACCATGGAGGACGGAATTAAAGAGCTTCTGAAAGACTTCAAGTACCGGTTTTCCACCCGCTTTCAGAAGCTCCGCTGTAATTCCATCCTCGCCTGGGGCCTTACCGTTTTTAAGGTGCTGGAGAGCCATTCTAATCTCGCTCAGACTGACGTCCGGGATATCTTCGGAATAGTGTCGGATGAGACTCGCTCTTGGATCGTTACTCACACTTGCGTGTGGAGACAAACAATATAATATGATATTAGCAAAGCATTGAAAATATTGGGAATATGAAAATATAAAAATTGGTGAATCCGTACAGAAATATTTTAATTCAATGTGAAGCCTTCGTATTAAGAAATAATTAAACATCTTATATTTGTGATAAAACGTTTTTATATAATTATATTAAAATTTTCTAAAAGCTTTTATAAAACGTTTTGCCAAATTAATTGAAATGTAACTTTAAATAGCCTAAGTCAACATTAAAATTAAAACAATCATTATAAACCTGATGCATTCGGATTTCGTATTCGAGTAATGATGCCTGAGTGGTAGTGATCCTTAACGTACTGAATGAAATACCATTAAAGGCCTATTTCATACTACATATACTCGAATTTTTCGATGTAGCAAAAAATTTGAAAATAACTCTGTTGAATAGCAAGTGAACGTACTATGTGAAATGTCAAAGGCCCATTTCAAATGAATACTGATATAAAAGTTATGAGCTGAGGCACCCCGTGCAATTTTATTCAATTACGGTACAAAAGCAAGCGCCTCTGGTGTAGCCTTAACTACTCTTAATCTGATTATATGTTGATAATAGCATATCACATTGGTGCTGGTGAATTATTGGATCTGGATTTTATTTCCTGTGCTCAATTTGTTACTTTGAAGTAATTGTCAGAATTTTTTTTAACTAGCCTGTATCGCTAGTTGGGGGCGCCCTACACTTCGTCTGCCGGTACGAGGCTGCCACTCGAGAATCTTTCGTCACCATCGGTTGTCGGTTCTTCGAGCTATATGGCCGGCCTATTGCCCCTTTAGCATACTATTTTTTTGGGCTATGTCGGTTAATCTGGTATTAATGCGTATATCCTCGGTTTAAAGTCTATCACGCAGAGAAACGCCGAGCAAAGCCCTTGCCATAGCTCGCTGAGTGACTTTGAGCTTCCTCATACGGCCAGCAGTGTCATACGGCCAGTAGTGATTATATGGAGGAACTAGAGGGAGTGACGACCTGGTAAGACATGCAGGAAGTCAATGAATGGAGATGGCTCGGGACTGTGATTTGTGGCATTTCTTTGGGAAGGCTGTTCAGCATTGGACTTGTGAAGGGCTGTAATGATGATGAGTATGATGCCTGTATCTCTGACATTAAATCACAATTTTCTGTAACGTCTGTTCACTTAATAATCTTCTAGTGGATCGGGCTAAAGTATCAAAACTTTGTTGCACTTTAATTAATTGTAAAAGTCTATAAAAATAAATATCGTAGGTATTTGCTAAATCATATTTTAGAAGGAAACAATACTTTGACGTTAAAGGGAAATTCTAAGAGTGCTGGCGAGTCATAACAGCTTTACAGTGTTGAGGTTATTTATTTATTATATGACGGTTCCGTGGCGCAGTGGACTAGCAGTTAGTTGCGGCGCTGAGAGCCCCGAGTTCGAAACCCGCATGGAACAAGTATTTGTATGGACTAGAAATAATAAATACGGGTCTAGATGTTTGCTCTTTTGCAAATTATATGTATATTTACTGCCTCTACGATACAAGAGTAAGACTAAGTATGAGAGTATGAGAGACTAAGTACGCTTCTTTTTAAATAAACATTTCATTTAATATAACTTTGGCAAGTTATGCAAAGATGCGAAACCTATTGTATAGCTACACCAAACAACCTCGTATTGTCTGAACCTTATTTTCTTCTGAAGCAATACTTTGACGTTAAAGGACTGTTTACTACGTGTTTTTGTAAAGTGCTATTTGTTGAAACCTGTTCAATTCGTCAAAGCAATAAGAAAGAAGAAAGTTTTTGAGTATAATCAAAAGCTTCTGTAATAGGAAAAATTCAGCATTTACTGGATTGCAATTTTGATCAATCCAAAACCATCATAATAACGATTGAATAAAACCTCAAAACCAATCAAAGTTGAGTTCATGGTTGATAATAGAGTGAGTGGAGTACACTTGTATATTTATGATGTATGAGACATTAGATTATTCAGTGGCGTACTAAACTACCATTACAACGTATAAAATGCCAGCTGAAGTTGTTAAATATTATCACGGAAAATTTTAAAATTCTCATATAACCTATCATTTTATTGTAAAAATTGTATTAAATTTACGTACATTGGCGTTTGTACAGGAATGATGTTATGCCACATTTTAACAACGGAATTGATTTCTTTTATGGCACACAAGTACTTGTTGCGACAGGTATTCAAACATGTTGTCCGCAGTACCAATAATTATGATGCAAGATATTAAAATATTAATGCTTAACATTAAACTACTCGTACGTTCGCCTTTTAAAGATTGACATTAGTCAGGTGTTTCCTACATTACGGGTGACTATAAATATGAAATACTGAGCGGCTGGTATTAAAAACGAGTAAAAGTCGAGATGTTTTGTTTAGAATTCAGATGTGTAGTCGCCATGTTAATTAATCTATTCCCTCACATTAGCCATAGCCATAGGCGGCTGATAATAATTGTCCACCGCCACCCATAAACAACTGCAATAATAGGGTAATCGCAAGTGTTTCCGGTCTTTTATAAAGGAGTAGCTCATTTCTTAAAGTTCCCTAAATCGTAACTGTCCGGAAAAAATTGACGATGATAAACGATTCGTAAAAGAAGTCGTGGGAGGAAGAAAACTTCTAATAAAACTCATAGTGCTGAACCACCAAGCATCCAGATGCTGTGTATAATATTGTGAATTTTGTCGCGAAATGAGTTGGCGAAATATGGCTGCTGGAATTATTCCGAATAATTCCTCTGAGCACTGCCCGTGCTTACTACGGTTGACCAACTTAACATTACGTGGGTTAATTTAACGCTAAGCTACTTGATTATAATGCGCCTCCAAATGTTTAAATTATGCCCGGAGAGGTACGAGATCCAATGAAGACAAGAAATTAATTTCATCTTGTCTGATTTATTGCGAAGATGTGACCTTAATTCCGTTAGATACCTCCAATATTATATTATGGAATTTGCATTCCGAGATACACACTTTAGCTTATCACACACGTAGCAGATTATCATCATCGTCATTACGACCTATCAATAGTAAACTGCTGAACATTGTTCTCTCTCAGAGATAGCTTCATAAAAAGGATATTTGCTATTGTTGCCACGATTGGAAGAGGGTTCGAAACCAGAGTTATTCTTATTGTTTTTATGCTGCCCATGGAACTATATTATCGTTATCAAGACACGGCACCACGAAGCAAATAAAAGATAAAATATATTACAAAACCTACTACGTGACAGTTGGACTACTTACTATTATTACCAAGTAACCTTATTACACTGTGTAGTGTTGGAGATTGTGAGTAAATATCTTTTATATTTTGCCTACAGCAAGCAAAGTTAAATCAGCAATCATAACGGATTCAGCTCGGCAGAGCTGCGCAACCTATATCATCTTTAACTGAGTTGATATTATCTTGGTAGTCACCGTGACGAATGTTATACCTTAAGTACGTCTTATATGTAATAAATATTATATATTGCGATGAGTATATAAAACTAAAAATACAGTCTATATAAAATGTAGCCTGCGGGATTGAAACCGTACTGCGTGTAGCGATTAGGTATTCTTAACTGCACTATGTCTTAGGTAGTATGGTGAACAAAGAAAGTCCAAAGTTCAGTATAAGTCAGCTATAATGATTTAAATTAGAATTTACATTTAACACATAAAACAAGCCAAAAAATACTACACTGGATACAAACAAAAAGAACAAGAGTAAAAGGGCGGAAACTAACAAAACAATACGGGAATTAAACTATCGTAAGTATAGAAAAATGCAAGGCGATCGAACGTGCGTCTACTCCGGAATCTCTGAGCGAGTGAAGGGCACCTTGGCGTTATGAGAGTATGGTTAATGTCACGGACGTAAATTCCGAAGGTTGCCGAAGTATTCCGATGGCCGTGTGCGCGCGCGAAGTGGCTTTGTCCATTGTTGGTATCCCACAGTACTCCCCCGCCGAGACCGTGGCTACGGTCGATAGTAATCAGGAAAATGAACTTTTCTTCCACTCTTAGTAATCCTTTCCTTCGTTTTTTGGTCGTTATGGATGCATGTTGGAAGAGGAGGTGATGAAGATGTAGCAACCGAAGTATTTGTGGGTCCATCTGTAACATACGCAGGTTTTAGACGATCAATACTGACGCTGACCGCTTTATTTCGCACGAGCACTTTATAAAACTTCGGGTGCCTGCCTAAAACTTGATACGGGCCCGCATATGGAGGCTCTAGTGATTTTCGTACATGGTCCTGACGCAGGAATACATGACTGCAATCTGTTAGATTTTTGGGTATATAAAATGGACCATTTCTATGCCACTTAGCTGGTTTTGGCGTCAGCTTAGCCATATGTGAGCGTAGACGGGCGGCGAAGGTGGTGAAATCTTCAGTGCAGTGGTTTTCTTTAGGGCTCATGAACTCGCCAGGAAGGTGAAGAGGTTCGCCATACACCAGTTCAGCAGACGAAGCTTGAATATCTTCTTTCCAAGAGCTGCGAATACCAAGAAGAACAAGCGGAAGTACCTCAGTCCATTGTGTAGAGTTGTGGCACATAATGGCAGCTTTCAGCTGGCGATGTACGCGCTCGACCATTCCATTAGCAGAAGGGTGGTAGGCAGTTGTGCAGAAATGACAAGCACCAACCATGGATGCGATTGCCTTAAATAAGCTGGAATCGAACTGGCGTCCTCTGTCCGTTGTAATTCGAGCAGGGCAGCCGAATCTGGATATCCACCCAGATACCAGAGCGGAGGCACAGGATTCTGCTGTGATGTCTTTCAGGGGAATCGCCTCAGGCCATCGTGTAAATCTATCGATGATAGTGAGGCAATATCTGAAATCATAAGAGAGAGTTAGAGGCCCTATAATATCGAGATGTATATGAGAGAATCTCGATGAAGGCGTAGGAAAAGAGGAAAGGGGAGCGGAAGTGTGACGGGTAATCTTGCTTCGTTGGCAATCAAGGCAATGCCTAGCCCACTCTCTACAGTCTCTACGAATGCCAGGCCAGACAAACCTATCAGTGACAAGACGTACTGTAGCTGAACTTCCTGGGTGACTTAATCCATGAAGCATATCGAACACTTGCCTTCTAAATGCTTTTGTAATGAAGGTCTTGGCTGCTGTACAGATACGTCACAGTATACTTTAAGGTTTGCTCCTATTGGTTCGATTTTCTGTAGGTTTAATGATGAACCGTTTTGCAGCAGATGTTGCAGTTCAGGGTCTTTATCTTGAGATCGTGAAAGAGCCTGGTAATCTAAAGATATTTTAATTTCTTCTACCCGTGAAAGCGTATCGGCTACTACATTATCTGGTCCCGGAATGTAGCGAATGTCTGTGGTATACTGTGCAATAAAATCTAGGTAGCGATAGCGTCGCGGAGGACATTTATCTCTTGCAGTAGAGAAAGCATAGGTAAGAGGCTTATGATCTGTGTACACACTGAAGACTCTAGCCTCTACCATGTGTAAGAAATATTTGATTGCTTCGTAAATTACTAGAAGCTCCCGGTCATAAGGGCTATATTTTTTTTGTGCGGAATTCAGCTTTTTCGAAAATAAACCTAAGGGTTCCCATTCAGTGCCCTTGCGTTGTTGCAGCACAGCACCGATGGACACATCTGAAGCGTTGGTGTGAATTGAGAGCTCGGCCGATGAATTAGGATGTACTAAAAGTGTAGTATTAGAAAGAGCATTTTTGCATTTTTCAAATGCTTTCAAAAGATCTGGTGTCATACTAATGGGATGAGATCCTTTCACTTTAGGTCCCGCTAAGACGGCGTTTAACGGTGCTTGTATCCTAGCTGCATTTGGTATGAAACGTCTATAAAAATTGATCATACCTAAGAATCTGCGGAGTTCCTTTACAGTGCGTGGTATGGGAAATTCTTGTATAGTTTGTACTTTTGTATTTAGCGGTAAGATGCCGGCTGCAGACACATGGTATCCAAGGAATGTCACCTCGTGCTGTCCCCACACGCACTTCGTTATATTGATCAACACGCCGTAAGCTTTTAACCTCTCAAAGAGCTGAAGTAAGTGGCGTTTATGTATTTCAGGGGAAGGTGAAAAAACCAGAATATCGTCGAGGTATCCGAAGCAAAAATCGTCAAGACCAGAGAGCACTTCATCAATGAATCTCTGAAAAGTTTGCGCTGCGTTTCGCAAACCATAATTCATGAAAGGGTATTCATAAAGCCCGAATGGTGTAGTTATGGCAGTCTTTGGTATATCCGAAGGATTTACAGGAATTTGGTTGTATGCCTTCACTAAATCAATCTTAGAAAATATAGTGGATCCAGAAAGTTGGTAAGAAAAATCTTGTATGTGACGAATGGGATATCTGTCAGGGATAGTCCTTGCATTAAGTGATCTGTAGTCCCCGCACGGCCTCCATCCGTCATCTTTTTTCTTTACAAGATGTAAAGCTGATGACCAAGGACTCTTAGAACGCCTTACAATGCCTTGTGCCAACATATCTTCAAACTCTTTTCGAGCAATTTTCATGCGTACTGGGTCTAAACGCCGAGGCCTACAGGTTACTGGCGGTCCCGGTATAGTTCCTATAAAGTGTTTTGTATTATGCTTAGGTGTAGTTACAGTACCTGCAGGTCGGGTGATCTCCGGGAAGTTATGTAACAGCTGTTGAAACTCGTTGTCACCAGAGATGGTTTTGATTGAGATGACATCCTCTGGGACTCTCTGGCGTTGTGCGGATACACAAAGGGTAGTTGTGCCATCTATTAGTCGCTGACTCCGGCAATCTACAAGCAGATTATAAAAACTTAAGAAATCCACTCCTATAATGGGTTTCGTAATATTGGCAATAGTGAAATTCCATGTAAAAGTACGTCTGAGTCCAAGGTCCAACTGTAGCTGTATAACTGCATAAGTATTTATGACTGTACCATTCGCAGCAATCAAACTGTACTTTGTAGGGGTACACGGCGTCTTAATAGCTGACCGTGGGAAAACACAAAGGTCTGACCCAGTATCCACGAGGAAAAGCATTTTAGAAACACGGTCAGTAATAAATAGACGGCCTGTGTTAGCTGGGCAATCGTTGGCCGCTACTGCCGACTGCCCGTTGAGTTTTCCGCCTCCCAATTACAAGGTGCTAAGCATTTTCTGGCACGCGTACCATATGTAAAATGATACCAGCAGTGAGGATGATTTGGAGGTGTCTGTGGTGGTCGCGTTTTAGAATAATTGCGCTTACCTTTGACCCTAGATTTAGATCGAGATCTTGAGCGATATCGGGGATACTTATTTACCTGTGTTGTAGTAAGTTTCGCTACTTGCTTAGTCAATTCACTTATCTGTTGAACCATTGCCTCGAAGAAAGAAGTAGTAATACCCGAAGATGAAGTGCTGGCGACTTGTCCTAGTGTGGTTGGCGCAATCTCGTGGACCTTATCTGCCAAATCTGCCAACTTATCTAATGGCAAATCAGACTGTGATGCTATTATTGTTTGTAAATTTCCTGGTAAACGGCTTGACCACAGGGTTTTCAAAAAATCATTAGGAACTGCGGGTCCGGCAAGATGTTGTAAGTGTCTTAGAAACTGAGATGGCTTTCGATCGCCCAACTCCTCGTGCATGAGAAGTTGTTTAACCTTACGCTCCTGGGACGCAGAAAGACGCTTAATAAGTTCCGTTTTTAACTTTTCATACTTGTTTGTTGACGGCGGTGAAGTAATAATATCCTTTACCTCTGTTGCATACCGGTGGTCAAGTTGTGCAATAACGTGGTAGAAATTTGTTGTATCAGACGTCACATTTGATAAAATAAAATGGCCTTCCATTTGGGCAAACCATAAACCTGGTTCCTCAGGCCAAAAAGGCGGAGGTCGCACACTAACTCTGCAGGATTCTCCAGCAGCTGCATCTTGGAATTTATCATCCGTTGCCATCGTCGTGGTCACCAATGTAGCGATTAGGTATTCTTAACTGCACTATGTCTTAGGTAGTATGGTGAACAAAGAAAGTCCAAAGTTCAGTATAAGTCAGCTATAATGATTTAAATTAGAATTTACATTTAACACATAAAACAAGCCAAAAAATACTACACTGGATACAAACAAAAAGAACAAGAGTAAAAGGGCGGAAACTAACAAAACAATACGGGAATTAAACTATCGTAAGTATAGAAAAATGCAAGGCGATCGAACGTGCGTCTACTCCGGAATCTCTGAGCGAGTGAAGGGCACCTTGGCGTGATGAGAGTATGGTTAATGTCACGGACGTCTATTCCGAAGGTTGCCGAAGTATTCCGATGGCCGTGTGCGCGCGCGAAGTGGCTTTGTCCATTGTTGGTATCCCACATACGTAGTGTACTGTGAAATATTCACGCTTAGTGCCTGATTTACCAAGACAGCATGGAGTATATACACAAAGTACGGACTGAGTAATAAGTTAGTTAGATTGTGATATTAACTGCTTAACGATTATTTGTCGATGACACACGCTTGCATACCATGCGTTACGCTGTGTTCACGTACTGACACTTCACAGAGTCTTGTAAAAAGAACGATATAGTTCCTGACACTTGTATGTCATCACCCATTCAAATAGCACGCCAAGTAATACACCAACTTTAGATCCATTCATTAGTACAGAGCTTTAAAGACCTGTCTCTGTTGTTATTATTGTATCTTGTTAGGTTGTTTTCATTTCTTTATCGTGAAAACACTTCACTGAAACGGATATTTAAGTTTTGACAGTTTCTAAGATGCTATAGAACATTTCTAAAAAGTGAGATAGATATGAACACTTCTTTTGGCATTAAACTTTTCCAGTGCATTATAATTTTGCAAGGAACACTCGGTTAGAATTTCCGTTTAAGGTCAAAGCATTGCTTCACGCGAAAATGGATCTTAGCTAATAGGATATTTTTTATTTGTTTCTATTTTCAAGTCAAAGGACAACAAATGTTTTTTTTTTCATAAATGCTATACTCAAGTGTAGCTTGATCTGATACGTTTGCCCTTTTACTAGAAGAACGTCGAGTAAACAGACGTTACGGAAAATTAGTATGATTTAGTCTCTGAGATACAGAATAGTTAAAATATTCTGACAATGATTCCGAAATAAAAAAAAAACATAAACTTTGTCTTTCTTAGGGCGCGATTTCCCAGCTACACTGTGACACGCGATTGTCAACTTATAATCAGATTAAGAGTAATTAGATAACCCTAGAGGCGCTTGTTTGTACCGTAGTTGAATAAAATTGTATGGTGCGTCTCGACTACCAACTTTTATATAGAAAAATTCGAGTATTCATTTGAAATGAGCCTTTAATGACATTTCATACAATGCGTTCAGGATTACAGCTATTCAGGCTTTATATTATTATAGTATGACTTTCAAATTACGAAACACACAGAATGTATGTATTTGTATCACACAAAATTGTTATACTGCCTTATGTCTGAAACCACGTGATATTTCTGACATATTCCATTGTCGCTTTGTAAGGGACAAAATGGCGATGGATTCTCTTACTCCACTATCACACAGCAGTTGGTAAATACTCTTTAGAAATCGCTAATGTGTGTAAGGATCCCAGTAATATAGCTGCAGTATGGTTCTACCACGTATAAATTGAAAATTTCGAAGATGATCCCATGGTAAAAATTATTCATGTTGACGGGCAGAATCATTCCCTAAGTTATCGAATATTATTTTGTTACGCCTTTACTTAGTATATAAGATAGGGGAAAAGTTCCTTCGTATTTTGTATACAAATTCAAGACGTTTTTGTTTTAAAGTTTTATTACATTTAATTATAATATATATGGGTCCATTCTGTTCGATAACTTGTTGCCATTTTATAGGTAGTGACATAATCGCGTTGCTGTAGAAATCTTGGGATTTTTGATTAAAAAAATGCGACAAGTAGTTTAATTTGATATATTCAATACCAGAGATTTGAAGGAACATGGTTTTAGTCATCCCATTTACAATGGAAAAAATAATAATATTCTTAATTATTTAGAACACGCGAAACAATATACTATAAACTTAAATATTAAAACCTCCAGAAAGGTTTCTTTTAAAGAACACTAGCGACAAAAGAAAATAATGATTAAAACTTTTAAACCAGTTTTAAGTACTCAAGCTAATACTGGATTTTTAGGAATGTAAATATGTATTGATAGTCTCAAACAGATAACTAATCTTGTAATCTGGCGTTATCATGATGAAAGACTAGTTAAGTTATCATTTGAACTACGATAGGTAATAGGAACTTGACAAACAAATTTAATGGACCGATTATGAAATGTTTATTAATTATTTCCTATTTATTGACTACCTGTTGATATTTTGTTATAATCACTACTCTTAAATATTATTATTAGTAGAAGTAGTATTTGTTGCCGCATTTTACAAGAGCGCCGGCGGTATCTAGTCAGAGCGCGCGATGACTTATAAGTTTGATCCTAACAAACTCTTAAAGCAAATTAAATGTTGTCCCAAATAATCGATCGTTTATAATAAATCGTTATTTCTGTAGTCGTTTATTACATTCTTAAATTACAAATTTTGGGAAACTTGAAAGAACACTTTCTGAAACTAATATCGATTATATAATCGAAAGAATCATTTTATGGTTAATTATCACAGAACGAGTATTATAGTTTACGTATGTATCACACATTTGTGAATGTAATAATCACACGATGGACGATAATATAAGTACAATAAGGACTATAAAGAATATCGAATGAACTTGCTGCTACAATGCTCCCAAAAACCATGAGTATCAAGATGTTTAGCAATCAATTGTAAATAATAAATGGAACTGCCTCAGACTTGTGTATCTGAGATGCTATTCTCTTTCGTTTTAGTTCACCGAATTTATCTATTCTAGCATTCGTAATAATTTATGATGCACTGCAATAGCACGCCAGCTATATCAGAACCTTCTAGGTTCTGTTTATTGTTTCTCTATATTTTCGCCGTAATAACAAAGTAAAGCGAAATTAGTAATGTGTAAGTTACAACTTCCAAACTAAGAAATTGAATTTGACTAGGATACTTTAATGAGCATGGATATTAAAGTTTAAAAAAAATTGATACACTATCGTTTACACATTACGATCTTTTCTGTTTCTGTTTCATTTTTTTATAAATATAATAAAACGTCATGCGTTGAATGTAGATTTTATGTAAACAGTCGAGCGGCCGTATTACAATTTCATAAAGGCCGTTTTCATTATCTTATAACACAGACGAACGTTTCATTTCTATATCTCGACCTTATAAGGTTGTCAATATTTTCGTTGGCATTTTCTGAGATATTATGTAAACATAAGCTTTTTCGAATAACTATCTCAATAATTTAAATAATTTAATTTGCGATCTTATCGTCTCTCATCCTCTTGTAATATGTAACCGTGATTAAGAGAAACGTAGCAAGATATTAAATTAATTAAATATTTTGTCCTCAAAGGAATAACATCTTAGCTGTAATTAAATCAAATTAGAGTGTCATCTTATTTTCGTTATTTTTGTCTCTTAAAATTATGAGAAAATTATCAGCGTTAATTAAAAAGTTTTTTCCTAATAATAAAATATGTTTTTTTTATCTGATGATTTTAAACTACTATTTAAATCCAACTAAATGGTTACACACAATACCTACGCGACACGCGGAATACGGTTGCTCGCTTCTTCACTACTGTGTGCGTACACCTTATCATTTTGTTTGTTGTAGCTCTCTTTTACGGTAAAAAATTTTCATCCGAAAAAAGAATTTCCCGATATTTTTTTCCGCGTACCGCTTCAACAAAGCGTGGCATCTCTTCAGTCTCAGGTCCATAAGACGAGCATTCAAACGATGACCTGTTTTTCTTCAATATGCCCGAAGCCCTAAGTCTTCATTTAACACCCTTTTCACCGTGGTTCTGCTTAACCCCATCTGAAGGGCCAACAGTTTCTGCTTACGTTTGGGATTTCTTTGAATTCGCGCCTTCACAGCTTTTATTACTGCTGGAGTCCTAACAGACCGAGGGCGACCACTTCTTGACCTGTCATCTACACTAGAGTCTTCATTGTATCGTTTGATGGAACGATAAACGAATCTTTTGGTTATATTCAAAATTTTCAGTATGTCAAAAATTTGAATTGGCGCGTAACCGCAACGATGCAACGCAATAACTACCACACGGTCTTCTTTAAGCGTCCAGCCCATATTTAAAAACGAGTAAAATTCTAAAAATTATACAGTTTTATTTTCAAGAACTACGTGGTAGAGCCATCCTGCAGCTATATTATGGTTGTAGCACGAATGGGTCGGCTCGACCGGGGAATGACCACGCTCTCACAGAATACCAGCGTAAAATAGCAGCTTAATACTGCTGTGTTTTGTATGGTGAGTGTTGAGAACCAGAGACCCTTTTTACTGGAAACGAGGCATTCCATCTTAGTCCTCACGGGTGACAACACATCTGCATTTTGATTCGTAATCGAAGACAGATGTAGATGTCTATGGGCCACAGGAAACACTTACCATCAGGTGGACTGTGTGCTCGTTTGTCACTCTTATCCTATAAAAAGAAATGAACAATTCGAAATTCGAATTCAATAAACTTTTTTGTGGCCAGGATTCTAAAAGAAAAGTTTTTACTGTGTGACAATACTTATGACCTGACTAGGTATAATAAAAATCTATCATCATCATCATTACAGCCCTTCACAAGTCCACTGCTGAACATAGGCCTCCCCCAAAGAATGCCACAAAGCACGGTCCTGAGCCACCTGCATCCATAGACTTCCTGCAAATCTTACCAGGTCGTCACTCCATCTAGTGGGGGGACGCCCTACACTTCGCCTGCCGGTACGAGGCTGCCACTCGAGAACCTTTCTTCCCCATCGGTTGTCGGTTCTTCGAGCTATATGGCCGGCCCATTGCCACTTCAGCTTACTAATCCGTTGGGCTATGTCGGTCACTCTGGTTCTACTGCGGATATCCTCATTTCTGAGTTTATCACGCAGAGAAACTCCGAGCATAGCCCTCTCCATAGCTCGCTGAGCGACCTTGAGCTTCCTCATCCGGCCAGCAGTGAAGGCCCACGTCTCAGTTCCGTATGTCATCACTGGCAACACGCACTGGGTGTACAGTCTCGTTTTCAAGTTTTGAGGTATACCTGACGAGAAGATGTGCCGTAATTTCCCGAACGCTGCCCAACCGAGTTGA